CGACAATAGATGAGAGCGGTCCATGAGGGTCTATTCTTATATTATGTCTATGATGAAAACCCCCATCCACCTCACTCTCACAAATAGCAAACAATATTTTTGCTTACAGCGCCACCAATTGGCCCGGCATACCTTCTACAGCATTTTCAGTGGTACTGCATGCTATTGTGTGGATGCACATTTTCTATTAATTTTGCAGATATGTATAAAGCATAACATCATTTTCCCATACGGCCAAATGCTGTTATCAGTTTATGAGAGAAGGTGCATTAGACTATCATAAGAAACAAATAAATGAGATATGACATTAAAATAAATGTATCATACCTTAAAATGTTTACTTTGCAAAACTTTTGTTCAAAACAACTTAGCATTCATTTTGATTAAATTGTCAGTGTTGTAAGAAATAGATTGCAAATCAATATATTTTTTTACCCATAATCCTTATAATGAGGGGATTGTGTGTCATATCTGGATATTTTTCTTTCCTTGTCCATCTGAGCTATTTTCCCACCAGGAACTGCTCTGATAATCCACCATAGAAAAACTACAAATGCTTGACATTTTGTTCAGTCTGTAGCAAGTTATTATTAAAGTCAAACAGTATTAAAGCTCCGGGGATTTCATCAGTTCTGATGTGGTCCAGATATGACTATCTGAATTAAATTTGCACTTTAATCAGATGTCCTAATTACCTCAGATTTAACTGAGCAGTAAGAGTTTAACTCTTTTTTTGCTGTCTTTGATAGTCCACCACACCCTGGCCCCCAGCCCACCAAAGCCCATCATTACAAGGACCTCCTCCCACACTTTGGCCCCTGACCATCCAGTACCCATCCTAACTCGCAGCTCCTCCTATCGGGAGCCATCTATGAGCAATCTGAAGAGAGCCAGTGCTGATGTGGAGGTGATCACTCAGTCAAGTCCACCTGGAAACCGTGACAACATGATGACCTTCAGTAGCAGCACACTGCCAAGGTAGCAGTTTGCTTCACATCAAACACATATTTAGTCACCAATGTTGAAGGTTCTAGTGAAGTTATAAATTTAATCTCTTCAAACAAAAGTTTTAAAGCACCAGGTACTTTAGTTACTCTTTCACAGTGGTTTTGATCTGAGTTTCTCTGGCCTTTCAGAGTGTCTTTCAGTTTGTCTTTTTAATTTACCTTTTAGTAGAACAACTTTATTTGAGAGATTTGTGCATACATAGTGACCTTTGCCACAGTCTTCTTCTGTTATGCATTTCATCTCATCATTCTCCAGGTCCCATGGAGGCTCCTCTGTGGAGGAAGGCCGTATCCCACGACGACATGCCTCCATCCACACCTCCATGGACTCCACCAGATCCAAGCAGCTGCTCAGCCAATGGAAGAACAAGAATGATAACAGGAAGCTGTCGATGCAGGTGATGGATGGAATAAGGCCGCTCCCTTCCTCTTCTCCCCAGAGGAACACGGAGTTCCGTTGCTCCTCTGAGCCGTGTGCAATGGGCCTGGAGGCGGAGCTCCGGGCTGGAGCCCACATACCTTCGTCTTCAGGCCAGGAAGTGGAGATGCGTGCTGGGGCCCACATCCCGGCGCAGTACATGAAATTAGCAGCAAGCTCTGTCCCTATTAGCAATCATAATCACCTGGCACATAATGGCAGCACTGGAATGGCCGGTGGGGCCAGAGTCTCCATGCAGCCTCGTCCTGGATCCTCCCAACTGGTTCACATTCCCGAGGAGGAAAATCCTAACAGCAAGGATCAGGAGAGTGAATCAGAAGACAGCATGATGGACGGCGGAGGGTCAGTGAGAGAAAAATGGCTGAGAGTTGCTGAGAAGACCACCCTTCCTTGCAGACCCCTGAGTGCTGGAGGACAGCCTCGTCTAATGCAGGTTAAACTTCTTTTACTTTCTGATCCACAGATTTTTTTTAAAGGGAGGGTATCATGGAAAAGAAGTTTTCTCTTAGCTTCACATCATACTATAATGTTATTCCCTCATCAAAAACATTTCTGGATTGTTGCTTTGATTCTTTCATGCATGTTTGAGAGGCATCTATTCTATTCAGAGGCACCTAAACACCTGCACCTCCACCTACGTCCACAAAGCTCCTCCTTAGAGCTGCAGTCTTCAGCAGAGCTTCTGCTTCACAGAGCAGCCCTCCACCCTGCCGGGTCCTAGCCCTTAAAACTTGTGGCAGCAATTAACAAACAGTTGGTAGAACTGGAGTCTGCTGAGCTCATCATGAGAACTACTTCTCATCCAACGCCCCTAGGAACACTTGTAAATGAAATAATGGAGAAACACTGTTGTAACGACTTTGTGAAGAAGGAATGTTGGAAAAAGCAGGAGCTTTTGAAAGAGACATAGGCCCAATTTAATGGCATTAAATTGTGAAGTCAATTTCTTTTAAGTTATATTTGATTTAAACAACATTATTATAGAAACTAAAGTTAACATACTTACTTGATTGCCTGCGACAGACTGGTGACCTGTCCAGGGTGACCCCGCCTCTCGCCCAGAACATTAGCTGGAGAGGCACCAGCACCTCCTGACCCGACTAAGGGACAAGGGTGTTAGAAAATGGATGGAGGGATGGAGGGACTTACTTGATTGTGCTACAAAATGGCACTATGTGCCTGAAAAACATATAATGCCACCATGACTGGTGAGGAACGGACTCCACCAAAATCAGATATGCAATCCAATATAGAACTTATATTTTAATTTTGACTGTAACTAATTAAAGCTTATAACAATATAATTGCAAGAAAGACAAACTAATATTTAATAAAGTCACAATTTTTTTTATTATTTGAATATTTTCTTTGGCTGACCTTTCTTTCCAGATTAAAATTGAAAATCATGTATGATCTTACATTTATTTTATATTACATCCATGCAGCTTTCCCTCTCCATGAATACATCATGGAGAGATTCTTGCTTCTCATTTTCCTTGAATTTTCTAAAGATCTGTCAGCCAAACAGACTGGCCTTGAACGGTTTTGTCCGTCTGTATTCTGCACTGCCTCACCCTGGTCATCCATCCATCCATTTTCTAACACCCTTGTCCCCTAGTGGGGTCAGGAGGCACTATTCCCTATCTCCAGCTAACATTCTGGGCGAGAAGCGGGTCACCCTGGACAGGTTGCCAATCTGTCGCAGGGCAACACAGAGACAGACAGGACAAACAACCATGCACACACACACTCACACCTAGGGAGAATTTAGAGAGGCCAATTAACCTGACAGTCATGTTTTTGGACTGTGGGAGGAAGCCGGAGAACCCAGAGAGAACCTACCATGCACAGGGAGAACATGCAAACTCCAAGCAGAAAGACCGCAGGCTGGGAATCGAACCCAGAACCTTCTTGCTCCAAGGCAACAGTGCTACCAACTGCACCACTGTGCAGCCCCACCCTGGTCTTACCTCATGTATTTCAAACAGGCAATGTGTAAATTCATTGAGTTTGACCATAAAAATGTTGAAATTAGCAATATAAACTATTTATAGAAAGTGGACAAACTGATTTTCTCTCATCATTGTTAACATATATATTACTTTTCATGGGCTTATGTTTACATATCTGCTTCCCCTGACAGCATGTCACTGAATGCCACCCCTTTAGCAACATATTTTTAAAAGATTTACTCTACCGCAAATCTATTTTTGTTCATTTTCACCAGAATGACATAATTAGAATAGACCACTGTAGATCCTCTCTATTCATGTTTGCAATAATTCAACCTAAAGGTTCTATGTGATGTTTTTAGAAGCTTTCCTTTACAGTTGTATTTGGGCTAATATCAGTGTGCAAATTCAAAATTACGGTACATATTTTGAGTTTGCACACTGCTCAAAAGACAAAGTCACCAGGAGGCAACCGAACTGTGGCAGGAGGATGATGTTATGTTTGGAACCCGAGCCTTAGGGATCAGTGGCCATCAATGGAGAATGTAGTGAAAGCAAAGCCCCCAGCTTCAATTTGAGTTGTTAAAGTGAAGATTAATGTGGCAAGATACTAGAGGAAAGGAGGATGTCTGACAGAAGTAGCTTGGAGACTCAAACAAACCAAACAGTTTGCTACCCAGTGATTTAAACAAACTCTGTGGTAAGTAAGTCTACTCTGCCTGTAATTCACCAGGCTGCCATACTGAATAACAGAATCAGTTCTTTCAAAAAAACAAATTCAGCCAGTATTCAGGAAAGTGTTGGTTGCAATTGCTACTCTGTTTCTGATCAACAATGTTGTTCTGACACCTATAAGGGTCAGCACTAGAATGCTTTGTATCGCTTACCCATGCAGTCATTATAAAGCACTTTTATCCAGTGGTTCTTAATTCTGGTCATCTGGGCTGCTGTCTTTTGCTTTAGATGTTAACAAGGAATCCTTTTCCTAGACTTCTATCTGTAGCACTGCTACTTCACATTCAGCTGGAAAGTTGGGCAATTTTTCGGTATAGTTTCCTGGCAACAGAGTTTGGAATTGGCCTTCATTTATTGCCTCTTTCTTTTTCCAGGTCATAGCCTTGTCCAAACAGCAAGGTCTCCTTCACTCTCCTCGTTCTGAAGATGGTGGATCTATTCGGTACAGAGCACTGACAGACCAAGATCCCTCTCCTCCGGCCTCTACCACTGGGGCAATAGGAGTTGGAGGTATCTGTGCACTTTTCTTTGGCAGTATGAATCTTGGTGTAATCATGTCAAGATATTTTCTGTTTCAGAAATCTTTAGAAGCACATAGATGTGAAAAATGGTCTTCAGACAGTTCTATGCCATGCCACCAACTGTTGTTGTATGATGTACAATAGATAATTGTTTCATTGGTCTGTTTTCTAGGAGGTGGTTTGGAAAGAAGTGGCAGCATAATTCGTGTTGAAGCTCATCCTGAATCCAGACAAAAGCCTGTGGTGAAACCTCCAAGCACAGATGGCAGTGGATCATGGCGATGGAAACCGCCGGAACAAAGAGCGTCCCTGCGACAGTCAACGTTTGCCCTGAATGACCTAAACAGACACACAGACAGCTGCGATTCTCTGAGAGATGGAGGTTCAGTGGATGGAAGGAGGAGTGTGACAGGGACTGAATCAGAGAGTGATGGTGGGGGGGACGTAGGAGGTGTAGGAGGAGGAGGTGCATACGCCAATCATCCACGTGTGATGCATCCCTTACACCCCTTGCACCAAAATAACCCTAACAATTACCAGCATCACAATTTTAACCCAAACAATCCCAATAATCCAAACTTTAACAATGTTCATCCAAATTTTAACCCCAACTCCAACATGTCTTTTCCTTCTACTGTCACCTTTGCTCCTCCCTTCCACCCTCACTCCCAAGCAGTCACCACTATCAGGGTGACCCCGGTGGAGACGACAGCTGCTAGCAGTGACGGAGGTTCAGACAGCCAGTCCGTGGCCTCGTCCAGCCGGGAGTCCACCCTTCGAAGAAAGGGCAGCACTAATGTTGTTCATGTCCAAGACCGAGGGCCCACCCCAGATCTCCATAACAACCACCGCCCCAGTGATGACAGCAACCGCCTTGACAATGAGAGCAGCAACCGTTTCCATGAAAACCTTCGAAATTTTCAAGAAAATCCAATCCAGCCTAATTTCCCCAACAGGCAGATGCAGGTTGTGTTTGGTCGTCCAAGTCCGACTCCTCCCCCTACTCTGCCCCGCCCCCTCCTGAGTCACACTCCACCTCCTACTCTGGGGCTGGCCTATAAAGAATGAGTCATCCATCTGTACCTGTGTTTAAAACAATGTGACCAGTTTGAGACTACTGTTGGGACCAAAACTTGTAAGAGTGTGGAATCATATCTATCCACTGTCCAGGATCAAGACTGGGAATGTTTCCCTCTCCCACAACAGTGAGTATTCAACCAGTTTCAACCAACTCTGTCATTTGTGAATTTTATAACCTGGGCTCTATGTGTAAGAGTTTGAGCCCATTTTTCATTGTGTTATTATTATTTAACTTTATATTTAAATTAACGCCTGTTGGAGAGACTGGATAACTTTTGCCAAACAGTGACTTCATAGACACAATGGGCTGAACAAACTGAGTGATGCTAGTGTATGAGGGAACCCAGATCTCCATCCTCTGTCCTCCTTTTACACCTGTGAGTTTGACGCTTGTTGGATTCACAAACTATCATTTACATATTTATCAGCTTTTATACTTTTACTAAACAAACCAACAACTTGTGAACATTACAGAGTGAGCATATGATCTACATCCACCCCTGTGATGTTTTTGTGTGTGAATCTGCAGCCTGAATGAATCAAACCCCCGATCTTCAGTGTGAGTGGGCCTCAGTCCTGAGTGCAGTCAGAGCAGTAACAGTATCTTATAGGTGACTGTGGTATTGTGTTTGTGGTGGCAGAGATCAATAAGTTACATATTGTGTTAAATATATAGTATAACATGCTGTCTTTTTTCTTTTAGATGCAACATTTTAATTTTGTGCAGTATGATTTGCTGCTGATCTTAGTGTTGGTGCTTTGACATGTGGAGTGTGAATGATCTAAAGCCCCCGAGACGACAACAAGGCCAAAGACTAAACAAAGACGAAGAGATGCAGAAAAATTCATTTATTGTAAAAACCTACATATAGTTTAGGGCACATAGTATTATGGGAAATGTAATTTTTTTTATTTATAATTATATAATTTTTCAATATGATTTTAAAACTAATAATCCATAACACATCAGAATCCCTGTTCAAAATTATCATTAAACAGTAACAATTTCTTTACATGTCTATAATTTTGGATCCATAACAAACCATGTTTCTCTGTTTATAGCACCAAAATGAATAAGACAGTTTATCGTTAATATAAAAGTCAACTTTTTAATTGTTTTTAGTTAATTTTACACACCTAAACCTTTTATGTTATATCAACATCATTAGAATTGATATTAATAATTACTAGGTAGTTGTACATGTATTAATGCCAAAAATGTTCAGTATGGCTCTGTTGGTTCTCTATTCACTAGGGCTGCATAATATATCACAAATGTATTGTCATCAAAATATCAGTGTGCTCAATATTCATATCACAAAGAATTGCTTGGACAGCAGTAATTGTTGGGTAATATATTTTACAAGTTGTATTTTTCATGTTAATGCAATATTTTGCCAGTAGGACAAAGTCTGGACAGCAAAACCTCAAACCAGACAAAGAGATCACAGAGTAACCACAGATTAGAAAGAGAGGAAAGAAGAAAACATCCACCTGATATCATCACCACAATATTTACCAAAATTAAAATGATTGCCATCAGAAGATTTTATAATATTGTGCAGCCCTTCTACTCACTTGTACCAAACCTACCTAGTCTTGTTTAAAACCTGAAGAACATTTCTAAGTGGAACCAAAATGTGGAACTCTGTTTCTACAGAACTCATTAACGGAAACACGAGAAACGATGACCAGACCAGAACAACAGTCTGCTGCAGACCGTTATGGTTTATGACAAATGCTTCAAGCTTTATGTTGCCATCATTCAACAGTGAGACATTATGTAGCTGGTTCTACATCTATCATATCCTTTCATCCTTGTTTCCTTCCTTCTTCCCTGTAGGCACAAATCACATGTGATATTATTGCAGTATTTACTGATATGATCCTATCACAACATTTTCTAATAGTTTGCAGCCCTAATGTGAACTCCATGCAGAAAATACCCAGGTAGGAATTTGAACCCAGAAACTTCTTGCTGCGAGGCAGCAGTGCAGCTCCAGCAGTGCAGCTCCAGCAGTGATCACAGTAAATTCTAACTTCAGTTCAGCATTTTAATTTTAATGGTACCATACCAACTTTATTTATAAAGCACTTTAAAACAACCACAGCTGATACAAAGTGCTGTACATTAAAACACAACATAATTAAAAAAAAAAAAACAACTCTTACAGTTTAAAAACAAACACAATTTCAAACTGGATCCCACTGGAGCTGAAAGCCAAGTAAAATAGATGGTTTTAAGACGAGCTTTAAAAGTGGGATATATTCAGCAGGTATAAATCTTGCAGTGAATTCTCTTTCTGTTGGTAAGCCAGCTTGTCCACAGACATGATCTGTTTTCACATTCCTGTTTTACTTCCTGCCAAAGTGCCATCAAAGAAGACATGTTGCTGCTCTCAGGCAGCAGTGTGTTCATCGTTTTATTGAAACTTCCTTGGAAACAGAAATACTGTCATGTTTGGATTGTTTGATATATTAGAAAGCACAGTTGAAAGAGCTATTTATGTATAAAAACACAATCTCTTTTCCTCACAGTCTGACATTTATTCAGATAAAACTGTTCTTGGTCAGTTAGGATCACTATAATGAGTGAGATGCATTAGTTTAGATTTTTTAAACATATTTTACATTGAAAGGCTTTGATACATTTCCTCAGTATTGAGTAGAATTCTCTGTTAAGCTTTTTTGACATGGGTCAAAAGTTTCTGGTAACTTTTTTCAGTCTCAGACTGGTTTACCTTTACAGTCCATTCTCTAAGACAAACTTGAACTGAGTCATGTTTGTAGGCTGCCTTGCTCACACACAGCTTTATACTGTAGATCTGCCCAGTAATATTTTGGAACTCATTTGTCTCTTTGGGTCACTGTCTGTTTTGAAGACCCATATCTACCCAAGTTTTAACTTCCTGGTTGATCTTTTGAGACATTGCTTCAATATTTCCCCACAGCAGTCTTTGTTCATCATGTCAGCTATTTTGATCAGTGCATCTGCAGAAAAACAATCACACAGCATGACACTGCCACTCCCATACCTCAAAGTTGGCTTCCAAGCTTCTGCCTTTTTACTTCAGATGTTAAAATGGTCATTATGGTCAAATACTTCAACTCTAGTTTGATCAGACCTGAACATGTCGCCAGAACCTAAAGCGTTTATCCCAGAATGCATCTGCAAACTGAAATATCATCATCCATCGCCAGCATCTTCACCAGATCTCCTACTTTTGTTTTGGGGTTGATGCACACATTTCACACCAGGTCCTTCCTGACTGGAGTTCATACTCAGCAGTGATTGTTTAAATAAATGAACCTGGCACCTTCAAGCCGTGGATGAACCATATTTTCAGTTGGCTGATTTCTTTGGATTTTCCCATGAAAACACACATTAAACATTTTGTTTGAGTTGCAGCTCAGATGTTGTGAATTAACCTTTAAATTAATAGCCGCTAAAAGCATGGCTTCATCAAACGCTATGCTTAGACAAATTCTTTAAAGGTATGGTAATCCTCATGTATAGAAACTTTGAATTTGAAGAAAGATAAAAATTCTCTAAAGAAGTTCAGCAAATAGAAATAATTTTTTCTGATTTAATGTTAGTGAGAAAATGACTTTAATGTTTTATACAGTATGTAAGTATCAGGTTTCCACTGTGTTGGCTCTGTCAGAAAATAGACAGAATACAATAAATATGTATAACTGCTGCTTTGTATATTATGATTTTTATGGCTTCTGCTCAGATGTTAGTTTGCTTATTATGAAATTTTAGCTGTCATGATGAGGCTTATAGGATGATAAAATGCTGTTGGTATGTGTTGATGTATTTTTAACTTCATCGAAAATGGTTAAAGGAAAAAATATGTAACTTTTATGACATAGTGGGCATTATTTTAGAAGCATGGCTGAATGTGACTCGTGTTTTAGCAGCTTGACTCTAGTCAGGAAGGACGGGCTTCAGATATCCTGATCACTCAACAAAAAAGCACATTGTTGTGCTGACGTTTGACCTGGTTTGATGTTTTGCAGTTGTTAGATTATACAAAGGATTTCATAGAAAATTGGGTCTATTGTCCTGAATCAGAGTTGGTGGAAGGATGAAAAGCATGACCATCGTGTGATGAAAGGAGTTAGAGCCCCTAAACTCTGAAAACTGAATGTAGAAAAGGAGGAAAGAGAAGTGTGATGGCAGTCTATCATCATCCGACTGGGAGGATGGAGAAGCGATTCATGGTCCGGGTGGAGCCAGAGGCAGCGCATGGTCCAGGTTCTAATGGAAGGATGGGGAAACATGGCGGCAGATTGTAGTCCTGTTGGAAGAGCAATGAAGTGAGATGGAAACATGTTGTATTCCTCTTAAGAGCATGCGGAGGTCGGTGGTGGTTGAGAACTATTTTTTATTGTTTTATTTTAATTTTTTTAAACATATTTAGCCTCTGGTGAACTTTATTGATTAATACAGCAACTAAGGAGGAGACAGAAGACAAGTGGAAGACAAGCAGCAAAAGGTCTGAGATAAGGAATGGAAGCGGGGACAACTGCATCAAGGACCAGAACCTCTGGTCATGGTGCACGCTTCTCCCTGAACTACCAGAACCACCCAGAACTACCAGAACCACCCAGAACCACCCTGAGTAGAGAACAGCAGAAAAAACTTCTTTGAAAACTACTCGCAGCAGATCAGCGTCATGGGGAAGCTTTTGCTAATTCACTGGAACCCATCAGTTCTGATAGTTCATGTGGAGCATCCAGTGTGATGAAGGTCTTAAAGCTCCCTGTGGGGCGCTCACAAAACCATTATTCATTTTAAAATGCTTGCACACTAATGTAGAGAAAGGAAGTTATAATGAATGTCAAAAGGAAGCCATTGAGAATTTATCTAAAAATATTTAGAAGTGTTCAAGTTTGTTTACAAATCAAAATGTATTTTAATAAGTTTAAAAATATTAATATTTTCTTTTATGCTTATTTAGTTAAAACAAAATTCTATTAGAGATAATACATAGAGTGTTGGATTGTCTAGAAGGTTCAGACTGAATAAAGTTGTATTTAGGATCTTTAATGAATGTTAGCAACAATCAATGCTGGCAAGGATGAACTATTCCAGTTTGCTAGTTTGGAAAAATTGCACTTTTTGAGATATATTTCAAACATGTAATTCTAACATTTTGAAGTTTATTCTTTCACAGTTGCGTTTACTTATTTTTACACTAATATTATATGTGATAATGGGCAAAAACTTCTTCTGGTGCTGTCTCCAAACTGTGCCATTAAAACCACTGCAGAAAGAGAGCAGACGCAGAGTACCTTTTTGTTGTTTTTGCAATCTTTATAAATAAGAGTATAACTGCTTTGTCAGCCACAATTAGAAGGTGGAAACCTTCTTACATTACATACCACAAATACAATGTTTCTCATTCATTATAAGCTAGGAATTGACATCACATGCAGTGTAATTTTGTTTAACTTGGATAGTTCTGAGAATGAAAATAAAACTGAGTTTATGTGTGCACATCCCACCCAGAATATGAGTGAGACTGTCATATAGTCAAAATACAGAAACAAATGTGGCCTCCGCCTAGGGAAGCTGCAAAACCCAGGGCTAATGCTACTTGGTATGCTATTGGCTAGCATAGCAGCCAATCCAGGTGTACCTTTCATTTTCCTTGGTACTGATTGGATGTACCCCCAAGAGATGAGGTTGACTGTGGATGCTAACTTCTGCCAACAGGGTACCACTATGCACATTGATGCATATTAAAGTATATTTGGTGTAGGAAATATTAAAATAGGGAGTTCAAAGCTTTTTTAGCTATTTGCTGGTAGATGTGGTCCATAACTTCCAACAATACTGGGGGTCACCCATGCATTCATTTATCCCTGTGTATAGTTCTGCAAAAAGGAAAGAATAGTTTGATAAATGTTAGTAAATGTGATTTCTAATCAACCCATGATGTGATCTAGTCTGGTGTTGACACTTATAACCCGACACCTGAATCAGTTTCAGGTTGGAATTATTATATATGCTTTCAGCAGGATGTTGTTGAAAATCTCCTTGCTTAACAACTACTGTTCAATGTAAATGTAAAGAAATTTTATTTCAAAGCCTAAAGTCATTTGTCAATGGAAATTTATGTCCATTTATTTGATGTTGTGAAATGTTAGTGATCTTATTTACCTTTTCTTTTTCTGGAATATAACATTTAAGATCAGGCTGTACTGGCACAAGTCTTAGCAACCTGGAAGTACAACTTAGATCCACGCAAGAAATGAGTCGACCCCAAAACATTCCAACAAATCTCACTTATTCACTGAAAATTAATTGAACTGTCCTTGACTTAAAAAATTATTGAGTTTGCTGTTTAAAATGTTGATCAATTTCCAGCTTGATGACATGAGAAGCATTCTAAAGAGCTGATTACATTCTGTGGTCCATCCTCTAGTCTGAACTGCTTTTTATGTCGTTGCTGTGGAGCTGCATTATTATTATTATCAAAGTAGTTTTATCAAGTGTTTACAGTTCATATGTTGATTTAATCTTTCATTCATTCAAACCATGGTGAAAGCTTTTCTGTAAGAACTTTGGTGTCCTGGACAAACAGACTTACTTAATACTACCTACTGTTCCAAAGTTAATGAAATGGAAAGAGGATGGTTCAGAGAAAATGATTTACATACTACGTATTTCTAATACTTTGTGTGTTTTCTTTCTATGGCTTGTAGTATTAAACATTAAGTAGATATTTCTCTTAGTGTATAGCTTTTATTTACTCTGGCTAAATGTGAATATTTGGCATAGTCACTCTATAGTGTTCTGACAGGGTGGGGACTGACTTCCCGGTCAGGTCAGTAGTGAGCTATGAAGGGATCGCTGTAACGTCTGAGAGCATCAAGTCCATCTAACACCACTAATTAGGGTCCCTTTGTTTCCAGACACGTTTAAATGCTGAAACACTTGCAGTGGGTTTGTCTGAGAAACTGGTGCTTGGATGTGGAAATGACATCATGCCGAATCAGAAAACAAATTGCTTTGTTGCTAACTACCATTAGCAATTCAAGCCAACAGAATTAATTTTCTCTCTGTTTTATGTTAAAAGGCTAAAGAGACATGTTCATATGTAGGGGTTGTAAATGTGATACACAATGTTAAAATGCTGCAACCTTCACTGGATTTTATATGCAGTCATATGGGATAGTGAACTAAGGGCTGTCCTGACTGACAGAGGCATTCTTGGTACAGTACGAGTGTAAGAAAAGCAAAATTAACCCTTAAAATTTCCTACAATTTAACTTTGAATTACATTATGTATCGCATTAAGGCTAACAATTCATGTTTAAAGTTCCAACCAGCACCGATGTTTGGTTGGATCCCAGTCAAATGAAGACTGGGACAGACCAAAGCTTCCTGAAGGACCGGTCTCCTGCAACTTTTAAATGTCTCACACCAACATTAGTTCATCAGCAGAGCTCTGTAGAATCTGACTGCCTGCAGGTTAGCCATTTACAGTAATTCCAGTGTGTACGAAAAGGCCCTCAAAGACTGGAGTTTCTAGTTGCTGCATATTTCATTTGTCCCGATTTTTACATTGGATCGGATCCAGTGGGTCTTGGCCTTAACAGTATGTCTCAGTAGATTTGATGCTACTGAATTGCATCTACTAATGAAAATGGTGCATAAAATAAAGAGAGTTCCATTGCTATCTGTTCTACTTTAGGCACACGTAGCAAAATGGCACTGGGTGTCAGATTTGAACCTTGAACATGATCCCAGGTCCAAATTCCACATTCTGAAGCAAAGGAAATAAATCATATGAAATGCTACAAACTAGAAGACTCTTATATTTTTTTGTGTATTAAATAAGAGGTTGCTGAGCTAGCAAACTGTCCTACAGACAAAAAGCACTGAGGGCTTCACACTCTTGATGTTTTATGGACTAAATAACAGGTTTTTCTCACAGAGCTGCTGCAGTGTTCCCTTTATCAAGACACTGCCTCTAGACTGTTAAAGACAAATGTCCAAGAATGTCTCACACAAGTCCAACATGGTCTAGATTTACATTTCTAAAATGTTGCTGCTGTAAAGTGTTTTTGAAGGTTTAGTGTGGTTTTAGCTTGTTGCTTTTCAAATATGCTTATTAATGTGAGCTTTGCTGTTTCTATTGCTGAAAAAAAATAAATATTTCTATCTTTTTACTTATCCCAGTAATGTGTTCATGAGCTCAGACTAGAGGTCAGGTGTCGGCCTGGTTCTCCTGGTTCCATGTAGGTTTGCTCATTGTTTCAAAGTGTTAGCCAGCTGCTGATTCTGAGATCATGTTGGAAAGAACAGATATTTGGAATCTGTTCCTAAACTCGAATAAGTTTGACTATAAGTGTGCTGACTCTGTAGCTACAAGTACATCAGAAAAATGAAGATCATGAAGAAGTTCAATTCAATTCAGTTTATTTATATAGCACCAAAATTCACAACAAATGTCTCAAGGGACTTTACAAAATAATCATTTCAGTTCAATCACACACACATTCCAATTGATTCTAGTTATCAAACAGTACAGTATGCTCAACTAATTATTCAAAGTGGCTTAAAAAGTTTTTACGTAAACCCAGCAGAGCATCAAGTCATTGACTTGCAGCAATCCCTCATACTGAGCATGCATGTAGTTACAGTGGAAAGGAAAAAGTCCAGTTTAGCAGGAAGAAACCTGCAGCAGAACCAGAACCTGGCTCAGTACAAGCAGCCATCTTCCACACTGAGTTAAAGTTTATTTTATTTTTGTTACTCATTTCAGAAAGTGAAACATCAATAGATTAATCACATAGAGGGAAATGTTGTCATTTTGATGATTATGGCTCACAGATACTGAACACCTAAAATTCAATGTCTTGGGAAATGTGAATATTACAAAAAGGAACATTTTAGAATCTCATGGTGAAACTGACACCATAATAAGTGAATTAACCTGCAAACAGCTGAAGGTTTCCTGAACGCTCTCTCACTCTGGGTCAGTCAGCTGCACAATCTGCTGACTGGACAGACGGCCAGAAGACAGTCATGGACACCGTCCACAAGGAGGGGAAGACGCAGCAGGTCAATGCTGAAGAAGCTGGTTGTTCAGAGTGTTGCATCCAAGCATATTCAGAGAAAGTTGAGTGGAAGGAAGAAGTGGTACCAGAAACGGGGAGGACTGACCTGACCTTTAACCCCACAAAGAATCTCTGAGATGTTGTTAAGAGAAAGATGAGGCCCCAGACCCAACAAGGCAGATGACCTGAAGGCAGCTATCAAAGCTACCTGGACTTCGTTACAGCTGAGCAGAACCACAGGCTGATCTCCTCCATGCTGCGCTGCGTTGATGCAGTAATTCATGCTAAAAGAGCCACAATCAAGAACTGAGTGCAGAGAAATGAACTGACTTTCCAGCAGCTTCATATTTGTGTTTAAAACATCCTTTTTCATTAATCTAATGTAATTTTCTGAGACACTGCATTTTGGGTTTTCATTGTCTGTAAACTGTAAGCAGCCAAACTGCAATTCATAAGGACTTGAACTATTTCACTCTCTGTGTAAAGTGTCTGTTCTGACAAGAAATATTCAACTTTTTCACAATATTCACATTTTGAGAAGTATGTCTATATTTCTGAGGACAGTGTATCATTGATTTGAAACAATAAGCATTTTAGATTGTCTTTATATAGAGGAGCATAAAGTCTTCAGAGATGGAAAAAAACTTGTATTTTTTTATATGACAGTTACAGTGATTAGTCACTGTAGCGCAAGATTGTTTTTTTTATTATTTCTTCTCCATTCTTGGAATTAGAACCTAAGCATTTCTTTTCCCCAGCCTTTAGTGAGTGAGCAGTGCTGCATCACTGAGAAGTAAACGCCTTTCAGATGAAGAGATTGTGTCTAACTGAGATTTTTCTCAGCCTGTTTTGTGCTTTCACATCATCTTTGCCAACATGCAGACCATGGAGTGTTTTAAGAAAGCCACCAGCTCAGACATTGAAACTGGGATCAAAGTTAAACAAGGGAAATGTGTGAGAGTTGCTCTTGAACTGACACTATGTCATCCATAAGGTGACTTCCACATTCAAAGTGTCACATGAAGACAAGCACTGCCTTGCTGAGAGGAAACGGAAAGGTTTCTACATGCAGTGGAGTTCAGACTAGCAGCTAACCGTTGATGTGATGAAGAGAATTAACTGTTACTGTACCATCACTGATCAGTTCAGTGTACCGATACTGACAAATATCAAAGTTTCTGTTTTGCAGTGGTGTTTCTGTAACAAAATAAAGGTTTGATATCAAAAGACACTCTGTAAAATTTTTGTTATATTTCTCTGATCTGCATTTATTGTAATAGAAACTGTATTTTGTTTCTACAGAAAGACACTAAGCAGAAATTCATTCTTGTTGCTGACAATCCATTGCCAGAAGGAACGAGACATTTGCAAAAAGGAGCAACGCCCTCTAATATTTCTGACACTTTGTGTTGAGAAAATCATGCTGCAGGGACGATTCAGCAGGAACAGTGAACCTGTTAGAGCTACAAGTCTTCACTGGGCAGAGATTTACCTACCTGAACAGACTGCCGGAGCTGCAGTGGAACGGTCTGGGTCAGGGACCTGCAACCTCTACATCCTCTACGAGAAACTGTTACCAAAATGATAAAGAAGTTTTTTAAAAAATTAAAGTTAATAAATAAATAAATGTTTCCTTAGCAGTTTCTCAAATGTATATGCACTGAATAATTTTGTGGTTATGTTTTTGCCTTCAGGTTGCAAAGTAATTTTATTTATTTTTTCTTAAAGAAATGTTATTAAATGTGAATGTTCAGGGCTGCCACGAAGGGAACTGGTGACCCTCTGATGACCCCCTGGTGACCCTGCAAGGAGAAGCGTGTTAGGTAACATGGATGGATGGGTGAATGTTCCATTATCGAAAAGTAGATTTTTTTTAAATAAAAAAATAATAATAAAATATATACAAATATATATAAAAATAAGGCTGCACAGTGGTGCAGTTGGTAGAGCTGTTGCCTAGTAAGAAGGTTCTGGGTTCGATTCCCAGCCCGGGATCTTTCTGCATGGAGTTTGCATGTTCTCCCTGTGCATGGTAGGTTCTCTCTGGGTTCTCTGGTTTCCTCTCACAGTCCAAAAACATGACTGTCAGGTTAATTGGCCTCTCCAAATTGCCCCTAGGTGTGTGTGTGTGTGTGTGTGTGGTTGTTTGTCCTGTCTGTCTCTGTGTTGCCCTGTGACAGACTGGTGACCTGTCCAGGTGAACCCGCCTCTCGCACAGAACGTTAGCTGGAGAGGCACCAGCAACCCCCCTGACCCCACTAAGGGACAAGGGTGTAAAGAAAACGGTTGGATGGATATATAAAAAATAAAATAGAATAATATATATATATAATAATAATAATAAAAGTTGATGCACCTGTTGTGGCAAAATGTAAAGGTCTCCTGATCAAACATGTACAGGTGGGTAGTAACTAGTTGCATTTACTTCAGAAACTTTGCAAAAAAACAAAAACAACATCGTTTTAGGAGTAGCTTTACTACAATGTGTTTGTTACTTTTGCTTGAGTAATATAAATATTAAGTATTGGACTCTTCATTGAGTAAACTTCTGAAAACATTCCCCATGGTCAGTAACTTCACTGAATAAAGACAAAGCTTGTTTTAACCAAAACCTTGATACAGAAACATTCCTACAGTTTGTGTTAAAGTGAGCTTTGTAGAACAAACAAGCTTTCTTGTTCTAATGTTAGTTTCAATTTAGGCATCATTTTCCTTCCAATCATGCTCTACTTTGTGTTGTTCTGTCACATAAAATCCTAGTTAAAATGTGTAAAAAAAATAAAAAAAAGTTCAAGGGCTCAAGAACGCTTGCAAAACACTGTAAGTGTGATAATTGCTATGAAAAGCTTTGATTTCTGCAGTCAATGCTTTTTGTCAAAGTGATGATTAGCCTTAGATTGCCAGCTCACATGATAATCACTATGAGGGATGAGAGCAGAGGAAGGGGATGTGTTAATGGAAGTGTTCCCTGCTATTAATAGCTGACTGAGTGACAGTGATTAGGGCCAACGTGGAACATTATAAGGTCACTGAAATCTGGATTGGTTTGAGTCAGGAGAGGGAAAGAGAAGCACAGCAGTGTTTAGTGCCTGTTAGAGTGGGCTGAGCTTTTCAAGGAAAGCTTCTTCACCCCCTCAGTCAGAGGGAGGGACAGACAGCAGGGACAGAGCTGCTGACGTGATTTCTGTGCAGATGCAGGACTGATGTGGGAACGATGACCTCCACATCACCTGATTAGACATTTAAATCAAAAATATACAAAAGCATCCCTTCTGTCTTCCTCGTTCCCTGGTTTCCACCGGATCTCCTCTCTGCAGCTGCAACACTGCAATTTCAGCTGAGTTTCCATGGCAATAAGAAGAGGGAGCGCTGGGAAGCCAAACAAACCGGGGGCGGGTGCAGAGACACCAGAGACGTTTTGGTATAGAAATGCAATCTCTTCACGTCTTTATGTAGTATGAGCTTTACATAACCATGTGTGTACACATTTGCACAAACACACACAAGTGACAATTACACTGCTGTGTAAGCTTTGATTGGCTGGTCAAAAATTCACCATGGCAACAATGCCAAGGAGCTCACTTCACCACAGTGTTGCACACGAACACACACAGCAAAAAAGGAAGAGATGGAGTGAGGTAGCCCAGACCTGACTGATTCTGCAGAGGAGTGTGTTTTACAGGGCCAGCATCATTCATCTGGGGCCCCCGGGCAGAACCAGGGCAAACCAACACTGCTTTTTGATGACGACTAAGGGTCAGTTTTATCTCACAAAATTTGCATTAATGCATTTTTGTCTTTTCTGATATGGAGGCAGCCTCAACAAGCTCTGACAAGAACAGAGTGTCAACACCTGAACCGATTCTCTATGATGACACAGGATGAACTCTGCTTCTGTCTGTATTGTCTCCCTCATAGTTTAGGTTTTTAGTGTGTTGGTGGATGGAGTCTTTTTTCCAGTTAAGCTGACCACTCAGTTGCACACATTTACCCATTTGCATTTACAAATCATCATGTCACTGGACTCAAACCTACAACCTTCTGATTGCAGGAAGGTTGTAGGTTTTCCTATTTCCATAAACTCGTTCTCACCAGGCTGCTTCAGTTTATGTTCTGCTTTGAATGTTTTGGTACTTTGGTTTTAAAGTGAATACAGAAAAGCTTTTGACTGCCATCACAATGAGTTTAGCAGCTAATTACCTCTGATTCCCCAGTCGTCCTCCAAAAGACTTTGATCTTCCCTTCTCAAAGGTGAATCAGTACCATGAAGGTGAGAGCTGCAACTAGAAATCCAGTGTGTTCATACCAACAAGATCAGACATTTTCATATGTTTTCATTCTTCTTTTAAAGCTGGTTCTTCCCAGTTTAATTCCGAAATACTGATCTGTCTTTATATTTGGATTTTTTAAAAATACATGTTTTGGAGCCCCATTAACTAAAAATTGATTAAAAAGCACTGAAGAAACAACATTGTAGTAAAGATGAGCTTTCTCCGACTAAAGAAGAAACAAACAAGGAGAAATTGTTGGATAAGGTTGAAAACACACTGAGACTGAATGTGATCAGTTGATAGAATTTGAACTACATGTTCTGGTTTATGCTACGAGATGGAGATGGAGACTAATTTGACGAAGTATAAAAGCCCTAAGGAAGAGAGCTAGGATGACACCTTATGGCCAAAGTTGGTATGACAATAGTACGCAGAGTGAAATATTGTAGATTTTTCTGTTTTACAGCTCATAACATCCTACAATGTGTTTCTCAGAAAATTACAATATAACATGAGATCAATAAAAAAATAATCTTTAATGAGTCTCCACATTACTTAATGATTACCTCATTACTTAATGAGGGGGATTAAAAAGACTGTATTTGAAGGAACACATGCATTTTGAGTGCACACATTATAAAGGTATGAAATCCTGCTCTCAAACTGAAAATGCAAGCTCTTAGCTTTAGCATTTTTAGCATGAAAATTCAAGTGAATTGCTGCACATATAGAAGAAAAACTGTAAACAAAAGTCTCAACCTCATCACACTAGTTATTGATCTGACACTAATAGATGAATATTCAGTTAAATGTCAGGCCTAGCAGAAAGTGCTTCAAAAGGTTTTGATAAGATGGTTGCATTGACTTGGGACCAACGCCAGCAGAGGACACGAATCCCCAAATCCTTGCTGACTGTGAACTTCACATTGGACCTGAAGAAGCCTCGGTTCTGTGCATCTCCACTCTTCTTCCACATTCTAGAACCTTGATTTCAAAATAAAATACAAACTTTACTTTCATCTGAAAGAGACTTTGGATCACTGGGAAACTGTCAAGCTCTTGGATTTAAGATCTCAGGTTCAGAAGTGGCTTGACCTGAGGAATCTGACAGATGTAGCCCGTCTTCCCAGAAGCGTCTGAATGTGGTGGTTTGTGACGTGGTGACTTCCTCTTCATTCCACTCTTTCTGGTTCTCTGCTAGATTCTTAAATCTTCTCTGTTTGATAATACATTAAAGCCCACACCCATCTCTTCCACTAGACTTTCCATTGAGAGGTTTGGACACAGCATTCTGTCAACCAGGGGTGGATCTAGAAAAATATTTATGGAGTGGCAAGAGGTGGGCAGGGATTTTCTCAGGGGTGGCAGCATATGCCAGTATATATATATCTATATATATATATATAT